TTTGTTTCCATTTATATTAAACGGATTCTACAAGTCAAATTATATAGATCAACACGATAATCCGATTAATTAAGCAAGTTAAATAGATTTAACATGTTTAAGATACAAAATTCTCGTATTTTAAGTATGCCGTCATGAGTAATACATAGAACTAGACAATCCTAAATCCAAAACTTCCATATCATTTTAGTATTATATTAGCAAGTTGTGTTCAAAATTACTAAATCTACTCTTTACTATTCACCTCAAATGAAACTTTACCATAGCAATACAAACCATCAAAGGTTATGGTTCCTAATACTAGTTTCTTAATTGTATAAATGTATGGAAACCGTATATATTTAAAGTATTAGCTTCTTAGCTGTCGGAATAAAATATAATCGTATATAGTTCTAAAACTATTTCACCACTACTCTTTAGTAATAATTAGCTTCTTAATTAGACTTATAAATAAAAAGGTGATAAATCAAAAGGACAAAAATTAAAAGATAAGCTTATTAGATAGAGACCATTGGAAAAATTAGAGCAAGATTCAATAGTTTGATGTCCAATTGTCTTCTTTGTTTTTTTTTTTTTTTTTCTAGTTAGTTAAGGATATAATGGTAGATATTGGGAAAACCTGCTATAAGAAAGAAAAGGGAAAACATCCACACCTACCATAACAAACATTGCCTCTCATAGTCATTACACCAACAACTCCATCAATGGCAACAAACATTAATTATTCTTTTATAATCATGCTTTTAATTGTATTCCTATGTAGAATATAATATTCTTAATGGTTAAAAAAAAAATTCACCAAAAACTCTTTTATATGCAACTGTAAAATTGCTTGGCTTCATATTACATTAATTAATTCATATGAACAAAACAACTAAAGCTCATATATCCATCCAATATGATTCAAAGAAGGGAGAAAAAAAAACTATATAGCTTTAAGGAAAGAAGTGGAATAAATAAAAAAAGATTTGTGGTTTGTTTAACTCATCTATTATGTAAAGGATTTGGACCTGTATGAACTTTTCTCTTTTCATCACCAAAAACTTCATCACCATCTTTAGCTTTATGATCATCTCCTTGAAAGCCACCATGCGAAGATTCAACAGGCCTAAACCGACGAGAAGAAGCTGAAACTGGTTGGAAGCTTACATGTCGAGCAGATCCATGATCAGTTGAAGATTCTAACTGAAACAGCAACAACAACAGCAAAAGTAGTAGGAGATAAAAGCAAGTAAACTTTTGGCTTAAACCCATCTGCTGCTTCGTTCTTCAGAATTCAGATAATACGCAAATCATGCATGGATTAATCCTTTTTTGAGCCCAAAACCCTAGACAGCCAAAGGAAACCAACAAACAACTTTCTCTTCGAAATCTGATACAAAAGGCACCCCCACCCCCTGAAAGAAACTGGTCGAAACAGCACTCTCTCAGTGGCTTTATTTCTTTTGTTTTTTTGTTTGGGGCTGCGTTGGGCTTTTGTGATGGGTAAACCTTGGAGTTTGAGCTCTGAAAATGAGGACAGTTAACAATATTTGGGAGGAGAGTCAAAATGCATAGGTTTTGGTGCCTGGTATTGCAATAAGATGGGTGCGGAGGAGGAGTTTGGAATTTGAAGACTGCCGAAATATCGAGAGGCCAAATCTTTACATGGGAAAATCTGTATGAAGCAGAGAGAAAAGATGATTTTGCTTACTTCCAGTTGGAGCATCGGCTGATTTTTTCTTTGTGATTTTGTTGGATATATCTACTGCCTCTCACTTTGTCTACCATCTAGACATATGGTTCAACTTATAAGCTCTTTGTATATTATGGTTGGTAAGAAGGAAAGGAATAAGAAGAAATCTAATAAAATGAACAAAAAAGAAAAATTCAAGTGATGAAAGAGAGAGTTCCTTTTAAAAGTTTCCGAGTTAGATCTTTAAATGAGAGAGGCTTTATAAGATAAGAAATTTTTATTTTTTATTACATAATTCAAAATGTTTATGTATAATAAAAAATAAAAAAAAAAGATGTAAAAACATCTTTACTTACAAATCCAAATAAATCTTATCTGATAGAGAATTCGTAACATTATATATCATCCAATTGTGTAAAATTTTAAATATTTATTCTCTTTTATCATAAAGGAAAAAATTTACTTGATAGTTAATCTTAATATCTCTCAAGAATTTAGTAAGTTTTGATACTATTTATTACGAGTTTGTATTTTATTTTTATTTTTTGATGCAGAGAATAATTGAGTTTTGTAAGCATATGATTCAAATTATTATATAAAGATAAAAATTATCCAAATTTCTTCTGTCATCTTACTTTCTTCCAACCTCATCATTTCAGTCCCTCCCCTCTCCTCTCATTCTCTCTCTCCCCATCAAACATGCACTTTAAACTTTTGGCCTTTAGGGGGAAGCTTGTGCTATACTCGTGATATTATTCCAGTAAAAAATGTTTTCCAAATTTTGCATGCATTGTATACTCGAAGCCTCCTTTGTCTAGTTCCTTTCTCTCTTTATATCAGCCACTTCATTATTTTGTTAAGCAAAAAAGTTTCTTTTGCTAATAATAATCATTAACACTTAAAACTTTAAATTATCAACTAAGTTTATATTAACCCTAAAGCACAGATATTATTGAGAATGTATAACAATCAGTAATAGCTTTGCAGTATCCTTAAAATGATGTGATAAACCTTATCATAGAACAAGGAATGATGCAATAAACCTATTTAGCTTTCACCTATTGGAAAAATAAAACAAACCCAACCTACGGGTTATTGTTTTGCAATATTTCTTTTAACCACAAGTTTAATCAAGATGAAATCATTTCAAAGCAGTCAAAGGGGTAGGATTTGACAGATGGGCCAAGGAGTGATATTTATTTTCTAAGGAAAACATGATGTTGTCTTCATTCACTTTTCTAATATTGAGGAAAGAAAAGCCAAAACATGAAAGTCATGGTTAATCGATTTTTAGCAGTTAGCACCTTTGTCAAAAAGGGCCCTCCATTGCCCTGAAAAACTAGGAAGAATGTATTGAAAATCTTCTTTAAAGATTTCTTTTCAACCTCCAGCTGCACCATGGCCCTGCAATTAATGGCTTCCCAAGCCATGTATATGTGTCTCACATTCATAGTAATATATATATATATATATATATATATATACATATATCCACAAAAGATTTACTCTTGCCAGTTGTGTAGGCCAGCTCCTAAACATTTTCTCTTTTGTGTGGGTGGTAAGTCCAGCCCTTAGTTTTTTTCTTTTTAGTATATATGAAGGTTTATTGTAAGATTTCATACCCTCTCTTATACCTTATATATTTTAATTTTTTAAAAATAAAATTTGATTTTGAGACTTTCAAATTAAAATTAAAAGGTTCAAGTTTTAATCATTGGATACAAATCCAACCCTCGTTGATAATGGAATAAAATATTTAATCAATGTTTAAGTATTAATATAATTAAAATTGAACTCAGAAGAATAATTTTTAAGAATGTTTTCATCAAAACTAAGCTTTATTTTTTAAAAAGACATAAGCTAATTCGTTGTGACAAGGCATATGTCGGGCTTTCACCATACATGTTGCAAGAGTTCATTGGATCATCAAGTAGACAACTACTAAATGAAGTTAAGAAAACAATAGGTAGTCAAAGCTGGTGGCTCCTTGTCATGGAGTCAATAGTGGTTGAGACTATACCTCTCCCTAGCCCTAATTTCTTACCTACAAACACACTTGCCCTACTTCTCATGTATGGTGACTATTTCTTATGTTTTGCAATATACAAGAATCAAAGAACAAAGATCAATGGTTTTCATCTGGCATGGTGTGAGTATTTCTTAAATGTGATAATTCCTTAATTTGTAGTTAGAGTGTGTAACAACATATAGATGTTGAGTTAATTAACTACTTGTCACTTGAACTTGACTCAAGTGACAACAATAGGGGGTGAGGTTTTAACAGAGATCTTAGATTCAAGTCATTATACATTTACTCTCCTGTTCAATTTCGTACTCTATTCACTCTATTGATGGTGTTTGCAATAATTAAAATGATGAAGGTACAATCATTAATGCGAATATAGATTTCTTTGATGATATATATCACGACATATATGCATACACATATTTGGGGTTAAAAAAAGAATTAAACAAATCATCATAGCCAGCTCTTCCATATAAGGAATTGTTATCTTGGTTCTTGGGGCACTGGTGAAAAGTATGTTGACCTATAAAGGGCAACAAAACATCACAATTGAAGTACCAAGAAAAGTACCCAAATAGATTAGAGTTGTTATGTTACTTCCCTCAGCTTTTGCATCTATATGTTTAGACTAGTTGTTATGAACACTTTCTGTTGTGTTTTTTTTTCTTTAGACAAGAGCAAAAGTGGGTATTTTATAGATACTTTCGGTTCCTACCATTCGTATCTGCTAGACGTTTGAAATGGTCTTCGTTGCTCTCTTCTTGCAGACCACGCATAAGAACAAACTAATGTGAAATATTGGGGGAGAGCCCATGCACTAGAAAAAGGGCCGTATCTTTTTCATGATGAGCGACACCCACCACTCTTGATAGTGCTTAATTTGAGGGTTGGGAGAGCTGGGAAAACACTATGAGAATGAGTGCTACATATATAGCTTTGACTGATTGAGTTTTGCGCCAGGAAAAGAACAGACAGTGTCGATATGAGTACATTAGGCATCATGAAGGCTGAGAAATACATATAAATTTGTGGGCAAGCAGAGAGAGGGAGAGGTCTCATCCCTTTAACTTTCACCTTTTTTTCTTCTTTTTTACTGGTCAAACCCATGGTGCTCTACCATCATTTGGATATCTCAATGACTATCATTAGCTATTTGACACCTACGAAACCTGGATTATTTTTGCCCCTCCTCATTGCCACATTGGTAACGTGCGCCTTTCGTGATTAAATTTAAAGAAGAAAAAGGTTAATAATAATAATAATAATAATTCCAGGCAAACTCAACTTGAGACAGTTAGATTGAATCTACAAGGTAGGAGGGAATTATTTTCTTGCAACGCAAAACTCAAAGAATGAATTGTTACAACAGCTAGATATGAGTGACAGGTCTAGAACATGGTTTAATGATTCTGCCATTCCCATCAGCCTCTCAACAACGACACCGCCAACCATGATTGAATTTCCTTATTTGCCCTAATCATCTTTTGAGACCAGAACCAGCAGGTGGCACTTATTGTCATAAGATGTCTTTGTAGTTTCATCATTTCACGGAGTGCTGTTGCATTAACTCCAGGGCGACATTTACAATGGAAGCATGCACAACTTTCCCATGAACCCCCAAAGGCCAAAGAAGATATTTTCTATTTACAAAAGAACAAGAAAGAAAAGGAGCAGATACTTTCTAGTTGTTCATTAATTATGTCATTTCTAACTGGGTTTGTCTTGATGAAATTGTTGGGTTTAAATATAGACTCCATGAATCTTGTATGTGCTGGATACAACAATCCATCATTAGAGATACTACAACTCCTATCGCTTGCAATAGGCAGCTTTTTGCAAGGCTTGGTGGATACTTTTAACATAATAATAATAACAATATTATTATTATTATTATATCTGCCATTCCCAAAATAACGATTAGTACCACGTATATGGTTTGAGGTTTCTTTTATTTTCTATAGCAATATACAATGTAAGGAACAAACCGTGCAATGAAACATGTTCCCCTTTTTGCTAGCTAGAGCAGAGATGATCCGATCTGGATAGAATTATTCCATTATAATTATAGGTATGTTCTCTATATCTTGGAGGCATCGGCTGTTACCCGGCCCAAAGCAATAGCGGTCTTGGAACCAGATTGGCGACCCAGATGGTCGCTGATGAAATCCCCGGCCAACTTGAGCTTCGCCAGATCCACGTTTGTTTTGACACCAAGGCCATTAAGCATATACACCACATCCTCAGTGGCAACATTCCCTGAAGCTCCCTTGGCGTATGGACAACCACCCAAACCTGCTACCGATGAATCCACTGTGCTAATCCCCATCTGTTGACAGATTGGAACATACTAAAATCAATTATCACATTGCAATCAGACATTATGAGTAAAGAATACTAGCTGGCAATCCTCTGCAATCAATATTTTTCCCTTTTGGGCAATTATAGCACTTACTATTTACTTGGAACATTGACAGCTTACACTGTTTAGTCACGGATGGTGTGGTCCAAAACCAGTGGCGTGACAGTAAGTATTTAGAGGAACCCTGTCTGTCTCATTATTTAACTTCCAAGTATATCTTGTATTAGGCCCATCCATTACTGGTTCTAAACTATTTTATTCATACCGTGAAGGAACTAATCGTTATTTTAGGATTTGTATACATGGCTTCACTGTGTTTGTTCTATGGCTGACCTGGAGAGAAACTAATATATTTGGAAGAGATTGCCCATAAGTGTCATGGAAGTGGACAGCAAGCTTCCCAGCAGGAACAACCTCCGTTACTGCTTCAAGCATGGGAACCACAGTACCTGTGCCAAAGAGAAATGGCAAAGAATTCTAATAACCAATGTTTGAAGCCCACATATAAATCCAGGAGAAGAACAAGATCTCAAAGAATTCTTTCATGCTTCTTGCACTGAATTACAAAGAACCATCATTTCTTCTAGTCCACTCTTAATCCCAACACAAAACACCAGCTCCTTTTTTGGTTTCACAATCTTAACCTTGAAATGAAATCCTAACTATGAAGTATGCATGTATGGCAGGACATATGCCAACGTGAATAAATGAATGTATGCATGTAGGTATACTTGGCGGTATGAATGCGTGCATATATATATATATATATATATATATATATATGAGTGATGGATATATGTATGCATGTAAGGATACAATATAGATGCAATACAGATGCATGCATCTATCTATGTGTGTAAGTATATGAAATAACAGAAGAAAAAGAATATGAAATAATCAGTTGCAATATTATATTGTTCTTATTTATTTTGAAAGCCTAGTAAAAAAATACTGCAATTAGTTATTTCATTATTCTTTTTTTACTACTCCAATCAGCTCTACAAGTTGTTTGGTACCACATGAACAAAAGTAATACGCAATTTTAAAATTCTAAATGGGGAAAACATAAAAAGAAATGTAAAAGCTTACCAAAAGAAAGCAAAATCTAAGCACAAAAGCTAATAGTGATTGCTTCCTACTCAACCCACACACTTTTTTTTTTTTGGCGCCACTCAACCCACACACTTTGTTTCTTAACAGTGATAGTGTAGACTGTAGAGTGTTACCAGGGGTGCCAACTCCAATTGTATCAGCAAGGGAAATTTCAAAACAACCCATATTGTAAAGTTCCTTTGCCACATAGGCCACTTTCGATGGAGGAATTGCTCCTTCCACCGGACATCCAACCGCACATGATACATACCTGTAAAAGTTTAGCACCAACTAATTTCAGCATCATACCAGCCAAAATGAATAAAGCACAAACAAATACTCCTACTGGAGCTATATTGCATTTGACGTGTTATAGAACAAAATTTCAGAATTAGAACAGCCGAAATAGTTAAATATATTTAACTACATTCAAATTCCAAAAATCAATTGACAATTATAATTCAAACATCCACACTAAAGCAACTTTTACACCAGCAAACCATGCTCAGCTCATTATCAAGCCTTCTCCTGGAAACAACTAGAAATAGATAAGAAAAGATATTTAAAAAGACAAAGCTACGTAAGACTGAAGGATGGCTAGAAATTTCACAAATTTCATACTTCCAATGATTCTGTACAGCAGACATCAATACTAAAAGAAAGGAAATAACTAGACACAACTGAAGCAGAATTTTCCAAGGTGCAAATTGTGCACATCTGACAATCTGCATTTCTTCCACAGCATAGGTACAGTGTTCCAAATGTTATTCAATACCAATAAGCATATATATAATTCAACTAAAATTGAAGACAGGACAATTATATGTTAGAGATATTGCTCAGGGAACAGGATTCTTTTTCTTTACCCAAGTACAGAGAAGAAAACAGCAATAATAGCTATCAGTCATGAAAATAATGACAATAAGGTTATAGAAGACATACCCACGAACAGGAACTGAAAGCTCCTTAGCAGCAGCACAGACAGCACGGTAGCGGACAAGGCTTTCTTCGATGCTACAATTAATGTTTGACTTTGAAAAGGAATCAGAAGCAGATGCAAAGACAGCTACTTCTTTTGCACCCGCTGCAACAGCTGCTTCAAAGCCCTAGAAGAATTTGATACAGCAGATTAGGAAATTTCTATGACACCAAAATGCCATGGTTGATACCTCATTTTTCAAGAGAAAATTACCAACCTTTAGATTAGGAGTGAGAACAGGCAATCTGGCATCCTCCATGTTATGAACTGCTTTCATTACATCTTTTGCATCTGCTAGCTATATAAACGGTAAAGAATGAAACATAAGCAGGCTATAGAAAGAGATAAATAAAGTATCTCACTTGCAACCAACAATGATTGTTTCCCACGGGATAAGTTTGTAAGCATGCAAGGTTCTCAATTATAACACTCAAATGCATAGATATATAAATGCATACAAAATATACACAGACGTTCAGTAGGTGCTACATGTGCATACGCAACAATAAAAAGAAAAAACCTATTTTGCTACACATGATAATCCAGAGAAGAACCTATGGTCAAGACTACATAAAGTTGCTTTGCAAAGAACATTTTGCATAAAACCATTCAACTTTTATGATAAAAACAATTTTTAATTTTCCCCTCAGTTTCATCCTTATATCTAACAGAAGCAAGAATCAGATACGAAACTTTTATCAGCAAAATACAGCTTGAAGTTTCTGTTTCCAGAATGGCAATTCACCCATTTCTGAGCAGATTTTAGCATTTAAGAACCTTCACCCAATATTTTCTCCCGGCCATGGCCAATACCATCATCACCTCACTGCATATTATCCTTGATCCTAAATATCTATCCAATCATACTAGTCACCCAGATTTTTTAAGGGGCAAACAGCTATAGCATGGCTAGATTGGAAAACAAATTATCAAGGTTTCTATTAAATAACAAACAAAGGCAACAAATACAGTTCCATTCTTTGAGTCACCTTCTTCAGTGATAGAATTCACTTTTCCATTCGTAGATTGGACTAACTCTCACATGCAAGAGGAGCTCTCAAGAAAAATTAACAAGGTGTACAAGCAGATTAAAAGAAAAATTAGTCATTGACTTGAGATATTCGTTATTAAAGAATCTTCAAAGAGATTTGAGGAATCAAGAATCATCAACTAAACAATTTTAACTGGTTCACAAACACCTAAAATGTTGTTCAACTTAAGTTGCTTGAGACAGAATAGTTATAGCGCCAGAGAATAAACTAGGACCTTCATACAAAGATTTTTATTGAGGAACGTGCTTTACTAATGATTTCTTATTTTTGTACAATTTTTATTCATTATTGGCAAATCTACTAAATCAGTAAAAATCATTTTACAGAATAGTTCAAGAATTTCAAACAGGGTGAAGAACACTAATAGGAAGGTTAATTGACCATAGCATGACATTCCTTTCATCCAAATATTCTAAATCCTTAGACAGGATCAGGAATGCACAACTGCACAGGGATTTCTCTCTTTCTCTTCTCTTTTGCCAAGTTAGGTTGACCATGTGATATAAGCTTCAAATAGTGAAGTTCTATAAGAAACAAAGCCAAAGATTTCAAAAGCATAAATGTTCCTATACTGTTAAAAAGAAGACAGGATCATAGGTTTAGGTAGAGCTTTTAAAGGCAATGTTTAGTGGAGTAAACAGTAAGAATGACTAAGACTGGTGGAGGCCATAGTCAAAAGAAGTAACACCAGGTTGACAAAGAAATATATAAGAAATGCAGACACACATTATATGTTAGTGAAAATAACTACTCAGATCATGAACTACATTCCGCTAAAGATGCAAAATCAGTAGCCATTCCCTTCTAAGCCCAGGGCAAATCTGGAATTAAACCCAAAATCACTGCCTACATTGCTCATGGTTATAAAGTCAACTCTAATCTTTGATGGACTTGATTTTGACCAACCAACTCCAAAAATGCATCCAAATTGAAACACCAATCAACTTAAGGGTTAATTAATGAACACCGCATGCATCCTCTATAGGTTATAAATATAATCATCTTGTCATTTCAAATGAAATTAAAACATCACAAAAGAATAATGAAGGTACCATCTCAACCTAAAACAAGCAAGCCACAATACCTGAGGCACCCATTTAGGAGACACAAAACTTGTAGCTTCAACAACAGTCAACCCTGAAGATACCAATCTCCGAATCAATTCAACCTTTACAGACGTAGGTACAATATTCTTCTCATTTTGCAATCCATCCCTTGGACCAACTTCTACCATCTTCACAAACTTTGGTATATCTTTTAAAAACGGCTACACATGAATAAAAGTTTTTAGATGAAGCAACTCCAGTGTCAATTTGGTCCCCAGCACATGATATTAACAAGAAAAGCAACAGTATTTGAGCTTCAAATATTAGATAATGAACCACTGGAAAAACCACATCCCACACAAACAGAAAAACATTAGAAAGGAAAGCACAGGTATCTAAATATTCCAGGAAATGAATATTATAGAAATTCATAAAAGTTTTAAAAGAAATGACAAATACAGAAATCTCTTCAAGTTATTTAATTACCTTATTTGTTATGCCTCGTACACCTCTGCCATTGCACTTGGACCTATACTGAAGATCTGGCAAGTACCTTGAGTCACAAACATGTCCGCATTTCATGCGATTCTTGCTTAGACTTGAAGCCCTTCTGTTGAAGGCTCCACCTTCAGACACATCCCTCACATGTCTTCTCCATGGGAATGCCTCCCCTGTATATTCTTCATAATCCTCACTGGAAACAGATGTTTCAATAATGTCAATAAAACTTATGGCTGATACATGGAGAACACTAACCATTCACAGATTATGGTGCTAAAGCAAGAGAAAAGTGGGAACATCAACAATTGACCATATATATTATATACTAAATTTAAGGCAAAACCAGAAGCATGCATTTTCTCTCTTTCATATCCTAAAATCAATTTTTACAGAAAAAGATGCTAATGCCCGTCAATTGTTTAGATGATGCCCATTGATGGTCTCACCAAAGACAAACCGAACTCCAAAAGAATTCCAAGTACTTTCTGAGTATATAATCAACAGAAACCTAATACAGACAAGAAAACCATTATCACTTAGAACCAAGATGTATCCACAGCATAGGTGTATATGTGAGTAGGGGAGTAAATGAGTCAAGCTAACTGTAAGCTACTCAGCCCCGGCTCATTAATACTCAGATTTGACTTATTAACTATTGAACCCAGCATGAACTCAAGAAGCTCAAGTAACAAGACAACCCAAATTCAAGTATTTGAATGCTCAACTCAAGTGGTCCTGATCAAACTTTGTTAAGATTTTAATGTTTCTAGGTACAAGATACATATATACATTGAATAGAGTATTTATTTACATAATTTTATTTAAGTTTTGAATTCAAGCTCGAGTGCCTGACCAAGTAAAGTTTCAAGCTCCTTATTTGAGTTGAAGATATTGATCCAAATTAAGTTGAGGTCAAGTAGCTCAATTATGTTTCTGAGCCATGCTCAAGGAAAAAAAAAAAGAGCAAAGCTCAACCTTATTCAATCAATGGAAGAACTGCTAGGCAATTAGTTAATTTTTAAATTATATTACTAAATCAACCCATCATCAGCTTTCAACAGGAAAATCAGCTTAAGTCAACCAACGCTAACAAAAAGATAAGTACCATATGCGCTTATGAGTTATGACCCACAGATCTAAACAACAGATTACTACAATACACTATTATTCACTGTCGTATCTTTTCAGTGACCGAGAAATTAATAATAAATAATGTAAAAAAAATTCTCCAAAAAGAAAACAATTTTATCTTTCAACTGTAATAAAAATCGTTAAATATTAAGAAAAGTGAAAATTGTCTCAAAATTGATACCATTACTTCCAAATTTTAGTTTTAACTTCTGGGAAACAAAAAATACTAGGAGAGTGCTCTTAGGGGAACATTTCTACAGAGAACTGAATCTCACTTACTCACAACTATTAGATGTGCTGCAACTCCTCCCTTCAATCCAGCAGGTTCCCATGCCCATATCTTCTCCTCTAGGCCTACAAGCACCAGCTGAGAACCTCTGAATCCCATCAATAGTACTCATGCTAGGCAGCTTGTCGAAACCAAGTGGCTCCTCCAAACTCGACATGGTGAACAAAAGCCCAAAGGAGACACTGAAAAGTAAGCATAACACAATAAGAGCACAGCCACAACTCGCTAGAGTGAGATCAACAGCAGAGCAATTAAGGACTTCTAGATATATTTCAGAAATTTAAGATCCTAATTCAGTGTTTAGTGGGAAAGAAAAAAGCATGCCATTCTTCAAAATTTTGACCAGATCACCCAATGTATAATTACATGAGTGCATATGCAAATACATGCGCATTTTACTTGCCAAATTGAATCAAATCAAAATTACAAATGGAAAAGCACAAAGCTCTTCCCACATCTCACTAGACTTATGTCACATAATCAGGAAAGAAGAGGAAATTATTCGACCAGCCACAGGTAAGAAAGAATTCTATCTAATTTTGCATGAGGGGAGGACAGATAACTTATCCCTTTGTAACGATTTAGAGAATCACTGACTTAAAGCAATTGGCAGAATTAATTAAATAAAATAATGATATAAACAAAACAGGATTGGCAACAAAAACTAATAAGACTGCTATAAGAACCGACGTTCATAGATAAACTATAAGATTTTGCAATCGACTAATCATAATCTCAATAAATAAAGAGTTTCAAAATCCCATAAGTTAAACTAGGCTTTGTGAAACACCATACATATGTGACTAAACAAACAGAGAAGACATCACAAAAGCTGCAACAAAGGGTTTTTTATTTTCCTGAACACATCTTATAAATGCCCTAGGCTAGTGCAACTGGACTGCACCAAAAGGACAAAAAGCTCTAATCTAGTTCAAAATCATTAACCTCTTGGAGTCCTCCAGCCAGAATATTAGAAATTAGTGGCCTAATTCCAAAGACTAAAAAATTGCTATCATTTACTCTCAGAAGCAAGATAATTTTAAAAATTAATACTTTTCGAATTCCTAGCCAAGAACAGGTAAACTATCCTATGCTATTACTATTAGCATTGGGTGGTGCAACATAAAAATCCCAACTTTGAATTTTACACTGAACTTTGAACTTTCACATTCTTCTCTTTTAGTCCTTTAAGATAAATTAACATAGTTGAATTCACAGTAGAAAAAACACAAACTCAATTGAGCCTTTTAACCAGCTCACATTCCTTTAAATTTTCAAGGCAACCAAACAGCACAACTGCGCATCAAATGTTCCACCAAATCTCAACCTCTCCAATTCATAAACCCTCTGTTTCAACTTCTGAGAAAAACAAACAAAAAAATAGAAAAGAAAGCTTTGCTCCAAGCTCTGACATTATCCTATTTAGTCGTAAATTTTCTTTTTCTTTTCAGTAAACTAAAAACAAAAGAAACAATCCACTGAAACAATTGAACTCATCCATCAAATTTAACCAACAAAACAAAAAAACATAACGTTCAAATTCTCATTCCTTCTCCATTATTCTTGTTACTAAGAGTTTTCTCGGAAACCAAACAGAAGAAAACAAATTCAAGAAGAAACCAGAGAAAAGAAAAGAAACGTAAACGGACCTGAATAAAGAGAAGAGAGAGAATTATCAAATTAGGATCTCTGAGCAAAGAAAACGAACAGAAACCCTAGAATTTGGGGGTTTAAAAGAATCTGGAGTTGTATTCGTAAAAAGAGAGGGAGTTGAACAAAAGGCGAAGAAGAAAGAAGGAAGAAGACGAGAAGGTAAGGCAACGTGATGGAGGGAGTTGTTCACAATGTTTTTCTTGGTTTGGTTTGGTGGGAGAAACTTATATAAATTAATTTCTTTTTGTCGTTTTCCTAAATTTTATTTTATTTTTTGAAATTCGTTTTCCTAATTTTATTATTTACAAGATAATTGGAATTTGAGGGTTTTGATTCGTGCAGTAGAATTTTCATTTATTATCTTATTTTCTAATTTTGTTTTTTTATTACATATAATATAGGCGGAGGCCGTACGAGCATAAATGGAGTAGGAGCGAAGGGCGGGGAATGGTGGTAGGTAGTTTTCAGTTGGAAGTTAGGTCATTTTCATATTGCTTTTTTTTTTTTTGTTTAATGGCCTACTTACATCATCAGCGACACCGCCGTCCACCTTTTTTCTTTTTTCCATAAATTTCTTTTATTTTCAATAAATGTGTTAAATAACGGCAACAATTATAATAGTTGACACGTCTTTGTTAAAAAATTCAAAGAAATCGAGAAGAGAAATGTCTAATTCAATATGTTCCATGAGATATCCATTTAAATGTTAAATATTTTATTAATAATGATAATATTGACGTAAGTCATAATAATAGCAAACTCGTGTCAAGATTTTGATTACAATTCTAATAATTGATTACAATCTAAAGAAATTGTACAAAATTTAATTAAAAAACTCACATTATCAAATAATATTATTTATTAAAATATTGAGTTACAAAAAGCGATTGATTCAATCCGTTTAATATTAAAATTTTAAAAATAGAATTTATACTTTTTAAAAATTATATCTAATTGAATTTTTATAATTGATCGGACTATTTAGATTGATTGGATCAGATTTGAAAAACCGTAAATTTTAACAAATTTTAAGACAATATAGAAAAACATAAATTTAGACATTATTTTTAATAAATTTATATTCACACATCACCTCAGGACCTTAAAAAAAGAATGGAAATAAAATATCAAGTGGAGAAAAATCTCCACCATTTTCCATTCCAACAAATTTATAGATATTAATATACATATATATAAATTAAATAATGGAGATCAAAAGTTGCAAAGAAATCAATAAATAACCATAAAATGAGTATAATAATTGCAAAATTCATAAATAATTGGTAGTACTAATATTGAAAAAACTTAAGCATATTTGCTTGTAATTTATTGCCAATATATAAGTGCAAAGCTTAATTACATTTAATAAAAACTACATCATTTTATCCAATATATTATACAAATTCTATACAAAAATCATCTTTTTTTAAAAAAAATTATTTTCAAATAATTAATTAATACAATATGAATATATTGAAATTAATATGAAAATATTAATTACATTAAATAAACACCACATCATTTTATCAAATATCATCCACACAAATTCCAAATGAAAGTGATCTATTTTTTTTTCAAAATTCAAATAATCAATTAATTGAATATGAAGATATTGAAATTAATACAACAAAATCTAGTCATTTTTCATATTTCTACCTTAACCATTATAGTCAATTTCAATGGTTATTAATAGAATATGAAAAGTTTTTAAATAAAATTGATTTATATTCCTTTTCAAATTTCTATTTTTAAATCATTAATGAATATGATATGAAGATACAAAAAGAAATTAATGATTATTCGCAGAAACCTTTTATTTCAAAACAAATGAGCATTGGCAATTTTTTTTTTAAAAAAATATTTTCTAATCATTAATTAATATAATTTGAAAAGAATGAATTTAATTTCAATTTTTTATATTCAAATCATTAACTAATAGAATACGAAAAGATTGGAATTAATATGATAATATCTTATAATTTTTTTCTTTTCCTAATATTTCAATTAAATTCAGTTATTTTTTCTTTCTCAAAAGTTTATTTTCAAGTTATTAATTAAAGGAATAAGAAAATATTAAAACTAGTACTATAATGTTTTGTGGTTGTTTTTCTACCTATCATTTATTAAAATAAGAAAAATTAATCTATTTATAGATTTTTTTATTTTAAATCTAGTGTTAGTACCTATTTTTATTTAAAAAATTAAAAAACATTAATACTTGCATTTATTGTGTGAAAACGTAACTTTATAAGTCAATACTAATTCACATACATATTTTTATATATTAAATTATTAAAAAAAACGTTAATACGTACATTCAAATACAAAGCATTTATGTCCTATAAATTAATGGTTCAATGACTAATAGTCCCGAAAGCCCACAATTACAATTTTTTTTAAAATAATATTAACCATATTCACTAACTTAAACTCAATCCAAAAAAGCATTAAATACCTAAAATTATATTGGACTAGAGACTTTATTAGTCCCTGTTTTTGTTTCCCAAATCCATTTTACCAAAATATTTTAGAAGAAAAGGAGCTATGATTTGAAATTACTAATAATTCAAAGAAATATAATTTTGATAAAAAAATCATGATTTGGAAATGGTAATGATTCAAACAAAAAATTATTAATTATATAGATATAGATTTAATAAATTCAAAAAACTATGAGTAATTATTATAAAGATATAACAAAACAAATAGTTAATTATTATTTAACAAATAAACTTATTAAAAATTTAACATTTAGTAAGTATATATTTATTATTGAAAAAATTTAATTATATATATATGTATGTATAAATAAATCAAACAGAGCATACGTGAATTGAAAAAAAAAAAAAAACCCAAAAAATGACAACCTCAATTGCCCGCCCACCTTCGCTGGGACCAGGGGCTAGCTGGCTTTAGGCGCATGGTTCTGGAAGCTTCGGCGCGGTATTCGAGAATGGTCTGTATTAATAGTGGCGCCGAGATTTTTTAAAAAAAAAGAAGAAAAATGGAGAAAGAAAATCTCAGACTCCGCTAACATCATGCCACGTGTATGAACCAAAATGTGTAGTATTTCATTTTGTAAAGTTGTCCTGCCTATCTTTTTTAAGACGTCTGCCTACTTTATTATTATTGTTATAATTATTATTGTTATTATTATGGTACATAGAAACTCTAACCAATGTTTAGGCAAAGTATTCCTCCTAACAATATTTGGTGTTATAGGATAGTTAGAAAAAGATAGGTAGGCTATTTGCAAACATCAATCATCAATGTGTGGGTTTCCTTTTTGTCTTTTTTTTTTGAATTTTTTTTTGTAAATATTGAATTTTTTTTATTATTTTATACTTTTTTTATTATTTAAAACATTGACCAAAACAATTTACACATAAGTCGATAATATTCATTTTATATTTAATTTATTTATTATTTTCATAGAATATTTATACTTTAATGGAATATGGGTTAGAGACTAAAAATTTTATGTAGAAGATAATTTTTCATCTCTTTCTTTTTCATAAATTATTTTTATGGCATGTTTCTATGTGGATGAAAAATGACATAAGAAGATAAAGTAAAAGGAAAAATAATTTTAACCATTATGTTATATAGATAAATAAAAACAGAAAAAAATGTGTAAACATAAATTTAGGAGAGAAAAATAGTAATTAAATAAATAATACCTAATGAAATTTAACTTTCAACTGTCCTCAAGTTGAGCAAGACACCAACTTAGACACTACTACTATATATTTAATTTAAAAAAAATCAGCAAAATATTCTTGAATTGGTTTAGAAGTAAATGGGTTGGTTCACATACATCATGGAGAAAATGATAGTTTCTGTATAAAAAAAATATTAGAAATAAAAACTGTTTCATTCACCTACAAAATAGAAATGACATCATTTTCAAAATGCAAAAAGTGATAAGTTGAAATTTACAAGTCAATGTTACACAAAATAGATTGCTCTAAATTAGATGAAATAAATTCGTATAATGATATTCAAATTTCCTTTCAAAATTTTTGAATTCTACCGAGTAGAGAAAAGTAATCTCTTTTTTTTTTTTGTTAATTATTTGGTTACTTTTAACTCATTATAACTTTACTTTTAATTGAAAATGCCCCATGGAGATGCAAGTAGTATTTGACTCAAATTTCAAATTTTCAAGCATTGATAAAAAGCTTGAAGATTACTTATAAGCTAAATACCTAAATAAGTTCTTAAACTATTTGAAAAAAATCAATTCAGCACTTATCCTTTTATTACATTTAAATAAATCTTTGAATTTTTATTTCAAATCAAATAATCTTCTCTTTCCTTAATCGTTAGTCAAATAATGTATTAGTGCTTTATACTATGTCATGTGTTATTTTGATGATATTACTATCATATGACAGATGACATGATATTAAATATTATTGATTAAAATTTGTATGTTTACGTTTTTACCCAGACATATTATCCAAGACTCATTGGTTAAAGATTTAAAACAAAAAAATAAAAAAAAAAACTAATTACTTTCTTCCTAATCGGTTGAATAAATATTATGTTCCTAAACATATTAAATCATTTGATTTAAGATTTAAGTTAAAAAATGAAAACAAATTAAATTCAAAATAATTTAAAATTCTTTTAACCCTCCAATATTCGAAGTTTAAGTTAAAATTTGGACCGAAGATTTTGAGTTAGTTGACAAAATCGCAGCAATTTCAAATTTTCAAGCACTAATAAACAGCTGGAAGATTAAGGGAAATGATGAGACGGATAAGCTTGGCAAGAAAGGTGTTCGGCGGATAGAGGGATTCTTTGTTTTCTTGGAGTCCTGAGTTTGGTTTTCAATTGATTTGGTGAGGCCAATCAAGTGTCCTATTTTAATTGAGGTTGGATTTTAGCAGATTTGGTTTGCCTAACATATCATGTGGAGGGAGCTGCAGATCGTGCTCAAATTGATATATCGACGACGGCTTGTGACCTGTTGTGGAACGTATCCTGGCTGATTGTGTTCGGACAGTCGAGAACACAATTTGGAAAGCTTTGCGTGCGTGATTTATGCTGCGCATAAACTGTGCGCTGGCGTTTTAGTGCGCTGTGATGCTTTTAATTTGTCTTAATCTGTTACTTAAGATTGATATTCTTAATCTGCTATTTAAATTTTAATTGAAATTTCAAATGAATCCATTAATTTTTAAAATAGATACTTTATCTAAAAA